AAAAAAAATAGAATGAAGTTTAAAGCGTGAGCGCCCAAAGCGGGTGGAAATCGGCTGAGAAGTGCAAATCGTGCCAAGCCCTGGATTGGGACATTCGATTCGAGAATGTCGGTCGGATAGTCTCACGCTTATAGCTCACGGCGGAGCAAAGTTTCGATGAGTTCATGTCGAGACCCAAATACTAAACTTAGTCCTTTAATCGATTTTGATTTTAACTTAATTAACGTGAATCTGATATGTGTATTGTTTATATATAATCAAAATCGATTTAGAATACATCTTACAGATGTCTGCTATAAGCTTTGCTTTTCTCTTTCGTTAAATATTTATTTCTTTGTCTTCGGTAAATGACTGACTTTATTATAATATTTTAATCGAATTATCTTTATTTGAATTAACTAAGTAAAAATGCATTTAAATAAATGTTAAATGAATATATAAATAAATATTAATTATTATGAATACAATAACGTATTATATATAAAGAAGTAAATATCAATATTAACATATAGTAATATATTATATCTTGGAACATAATTTGGAACAGGACTCAAAAATAGAATTCTGTCAAAATACATCTTTCATTTTACTTTCGTCTTTAAAATCGATTTTGGGAATGGTAAGAATCTAATGCTGCGCTTTTTATTCTATCTCGTGTGATTTTGAATTACGAGATGTTTACCTCATTCGCCTCCTGTCGCAACGGGTGATGCCGTGTATCTGCTCACGGGAAACATCTACTAAATATGACTACAAGTTTTATAGATCCAACTGGAAAATACTAACCAAATCCGTATTGTTCAGTGTATCAAACGTTCCAGTTATGAAATATCGAGTCTTATTATAATATAATAACTAAAAATTCTGCTTGATTTCACCAAAACGCTTTCAATCATATACGTCTTGTTGGCATAATCAAATCATTTCTCACAGTGCATTTGAAAAGAATTTGATAGAACTGTAAAATAAAACATGAAGTAGAGAGGAATTTTAATATATATTTTAATTCTAAATACAAAAAATTTAAAGTTTTTCAATAAGATTGGAAATAAGGCAAAAAATTTGAAAATTTCAATAAGAAAAAAAAATTTGAAGTTTCCAATTTCCTGTTATAGATAAGATTTTAAAAAATCTAAAAAGAGATAAATTATAAAAGATTATAAAGCTAATTTTTTATTTCTTGATGATTATAGATTATAGATTTCCAATTTTGCAGTTTCGCGCACATCATAATTATTAGTTCCCCCTAATTCGCTTAGATAAGATTAGAAAGAAAGAAGAAGAAAGTTTAAGACAGACTAATAATATCACAGAGAGGGATTGAATAATTTTGCAAAATGTAAATTCTCATTAGGTTTTTCTTTCTGTGGACACACTAATGAATATAAATGGAAAACAAGGCTAATTGCAAGTTTCGTGATTTCAAGAACAAATTTGCTCGTAATTTTGCAAATTGACGTGCCATCATCAATTCTCTCAAACATCTCTATCACGAACGGGATGTCAACAGATACTGCATTACTCCAGAGTTTGCGGACGGCCGCGCACGTTTCGCATCGTTCTACCGAGTTCCGATTGGTTTCGGCGCGATTTGATTATCATTCCTCCCGAAAGCGGCGATGGCGATAAGCTTCGTCGCAAACGTACCGCGCGCATAAGCAGGAATTTCCACGGATTTTCCTCTGGGAGAAGATAGGGGTGTAGTTGCATTACGAGCGAATAGCTGGTGCTCGATGAGGGAAAGGGGGCTTTTCATATGGCTTGGCTTTGGCTGTAGTCTGCATATTAATACGCGAGTAAGCGATCATCGTCGACGCGCGAATGTAGCACGCGCGTGGTAATTCCGGGGGATCGACAGGATTCGTGAAGCCTCGCGATATGGCAATGCAGCCCTTTGATGTCGAGAAGCGAACGGAGCGGAGTGCACTCAGCCCTTCCGCTGCGATACCGTGTCTGAATAGAAGACGTAAACACGCAAATTCTGATAACCCGCACCAAGGGCACAGTGAGCCCGGAACGGGACCAGAGGTTCCAGACTTCTTAAACAACACAGACTTTACGCGAAGAACGATACTTTTCGCATTAAAGAGTTGAAGGACTTGAAAAATCGACACTTTCGGAATGGCAGGTGTCGATGGAAGAGTTTGACCTTAAATAAACGAATAAACCACAAAACTTATATATACTTCAAATTTTTAATTCCAAAAAGTTTTTTTTATAAAAATATGAAAAATACTTAACTTTTTTTTAACCGATTTTATTAAAAATAAAGTTTATTATCCTTCGTAATCCTATATATATCTTAGTAATCATAATCATCTCAAATTAGGAGGAACAGTTTCAAATTTTAATTCTTTGTTCCATTTTACAACGCGACCAAAATTTTATCCCAAATTTAAAATACGATTATAAATTATCTCTGAGATAATAAATGAAAGTAATAAATAAAAATAATAAGTGTGAAATATAATTTTCAACTAATATGTGAAGAATTTTGATTTTATTTAAAAACCCAGATATATTATTTATTCAGTGGAAAAGTACAATTTTAAAAAATAAAATGTGATTTTGTACTGAATAATACGATCGTTTATTGCAATAAGCAATATCATATTATTCAGTACAAAATCACATTTTATTTTTTAAAATTATACTTTTCCACTGAATGAATTGTATTATCAATTTCATTAACAATTATTTAGAAAATATTTATCTATTAAAATTTAGTTATAACAATTAACATTGAATTTTTTAAATGTCCCTCTTTGCCTTCTTAAGGAGTTGATCATCTTAATATATAAATTTAAATTTAACTTTTTATACGTTTAATCCATGCAACATCGACCTCCAAGAAAGAAAACATTCTAAAGACATTCAGAGGCGTTTCTATATCTTTTGAATTTGAATATCCCCAAAAAAAAACGTTAAGGATATTTTTCGGATAAAATATGCAATATATAGGAATATATTTTAATAAGAAAGCACGCTATAATTGCACAGTGTGGTCCATAAGCTTAAAAAATAATATAAAATAAAAAACACATTAGAAAAATATATGTCGAATACTTTTTATTCAAAATAAGATCCTTTACAACCAGTTACACCGCTCTGCTCTTCTTTTCAATCTTTGCATTATCGTCGAATATTTCTCTTTTGTAGTCGTTCAGTTAGATAGTCACAATGGCTTGAGTTTCTGTATTATCGTCGAATAATTCAAAAAAATATCTTATATACCACCTATTCTATTTACTGGACTTGTCTGCCTTTGTATATTTCTTATTTTTGAAACTAAAATTGCAGTTGAGAGGCTAAAAATATTCCAGAAATTCAAGTCGCTGTGATCGATCAACTGAAAACGATTTCAAAGAAAGAGTAATAGCGATACAAAAGTTAAAAACGAGCAGAGTATATTATAAAGGATCTTATTTTGAATCAATAATGATAGAAATTTTTATCTAACATACTCTTTATTTTATACATACGAGTATATTGAAACTTTATAAATCGCACTACATATATGTATGTGAAAATTCATTTAAATATCGTAGGTCTTTTTTTATTTTATGATATTAATTTACTATGTAGACATTGTTTTATAGAATCTGCAATTTTGTCAATTGTAAAGTAACAGATACAAACTAAATTATTGGAGCAAAATATTATATATACTATAGTTATATTGCAATAACATTTACATAATTCCAGCAGGAATCAAATAAAAATTTTTTAAGGAAGAGATTTATAAGATAACAGATCAGTGACGGAAACTAAATCTGTCAAGTGCAACTTAATGTTAGCAGAAATTCAATAAACTCGCTGTTTCATAATCGTTTAAAGACGAATCGTTGCAGTCAGTACAAATACTTTGAAATATTCTTGAAATCTTTGATCGATTTAATAAAATTTAGTAAAATTCTTTTTCCTGATCGATCAAATATTTCTTCTTTGTAAGACTTTTTAACACTACATCTTAAATAATGTTTGATTTACAGTAATAGATTTACAGTGGCGCGATATTTAAAATCAGTCTTCAATCGACCTCTTGTTAACTCTTTTTATTAATTTTTGTGATACATTATGGTATTTTTGTATTAATTTTATGGTATATCTTTCGCAGGATTGAGAATATATAAAGAAGTTATTCTATAAAAGTAACTCGTTATT